TTTTTGGCAGAAAAGAGCAAGTTAGTACCCTGTATCAAAACATCAACCTTGTGGAGCCAAGACTCCTTCAGCCATATGAACATGTTATAAAGAACTTCATCCGCGAGATCAAACTGCAGAGCACAGAAATGGAAAACCTGGCCCTTGCGGTGAAGAGGTACTGCAGGCCTTCCTTTCTCAGGGGCGTAGAGGGCCCTCTGACTTGCTCTCAGACACGGGTGGCAAATGGACTGACCTGCATGGCCACATTGTGATGTGGGTGGTCCTCCTGAACCTCAGGAATCTAGAGCTTTCTAAATTAAGCCAGCACAGGGGAAGTTGAGTCAGGCAGTAATTTATCGGGTCAGTCAGCAATCAATCAATAGGTCATTATTATCCTATTGTATAAACTCTTCAGGACTAATGTAATTGATTCCATATATGGTTCAATATAAAAAAATTCAGAGATTTATCTTATATCCAGCCACTTGAAACACACAGGAAACTTTAGAAAGGTAGACAGGACCCCATTTAAAGCCTGGACTTGTAATTTATAAGTGTGGGACTTTGGGGGCAAGTTACTTAATCTCCCTGAGTCAAGTTCCTGTATCTGCAAAGTGAGCATGAAAATATTCTCATCCTCAGAGTATTGGGACTTAGTAGATGAGATCATGGGTGAGCCAGGTGCTGAGCGAGGCTGCTTTCCCTCTCTAGCCCTCATTACCCAGCCCTCCCCTGTGAACTGAAAGCTAAAACACTGTTAAACTCTTACCGTATCACAGACAGTTCACATAAGCCATAGCTGGCTTATGTGGTACATCTTTTTCCTTTTAACAGCCACCTTATTGCAAACGAAGAATTTGTGTGTGTTGCAATCCAAATGTCAGCCTTTTTACTCCCTGGAACGACCACATTCCTTTAGCATGTATTGGGAAAGAGGGAGCATTTTGTTTGTCACAAATCTTGGGTGTTGTGCCCCCATGGATGCTTCTTGCTGCCACGTGCTCCACCGGCAACTCCCGCCATTCTGCGCACTCTCCGCCCAGAACTTGCACACACAGCCCGTGTGGCAGGGTGCTGCCCGTCTGCACGCGGCTCCTCTTCTCTTTGTTCTTCCCCTCCACGTGATGTCGAAACTATCTAGTTGAACCTTTGGAGTAACTGAAAGGAGTTAAACTGTGGAGGAGAAAATGTTTTAAAATCCTTATGCTACATAGGACCTTTCTTATATAGTCCTAGAGTCAAGCAAGGGTTGAGCTATTCCCAAGGCATTTCTTATGAACATTTTCAGTACCTGACTCTGATCGTTCCCCTCAAGCTTCAATAAGATAAAGGGTGATCCTTAGAAATGCAGATGGTGTAGAGCATTCTGGAGTATGGATCAGAGCCCCAGAATGGGCTGCCTTTGGGGTGGCAAGCCGACATAGTTACTGATTTTTCGGAGTGTCAGTGAGTGTCTACTATTAATAAAACAGACAGACTCACAGGTACACACACAGGTACACATATACAGACCCACACAAAGATGCACACATGTACACACACACATAACATCCCATCTAAAGACAGGACCCCGTAAACCCACAGGGGGAAAATAGAAGACTGCCGTGCTTTGTGTTCTTATTACCGGCCAGGCTGCCCTTTCACAGTGGAGTGGGCACGTCACATTGCTTTGAGCTGTGTTGGTGTCTCCCTCCAGCCCTCTCCTGTGCTCCCTGGGAGGGACGCAGAGCCAGGCTCTATCTACCCTAGGCCTCGGGTCTCCTGAAGGCTCCTTCTTAGCTATCAAAGACCTCCACAGCAGTGTTTAAATAGCTGCTGGTGAACCGTTCCCTGCATTCTCAGACAAGGACCATTCATCCTCAACTCTGTGTTTGGTTGGGGGAGGGTCTCGGTGTTTCGCTCTGCACTTGCCCTGAACGACAGGTTCCCAGGGTCCTGGTAGGAGCTCCAGACTAGGTTACAGGGGACAGACATTTTACTAGAAGTTAGAAATTACTGGGACAAACACTGGGTCGTTATGGATTACCCTGATTGACAAAAGAAGAAAAATGTTGCTTGAAAGTGAGAAAGGCAGAGAGCACATTCAGGAGCAGTCCCAGATGTTTGGACTGGGTATCTAGAAGAGATAGTTGGGAAGATGATCATAACAAAGGGAGAAAGGATATGTGGCTTAGCTATTTACAGTTCCAGAGTTGACCAAAAAAAAAAAAAGTTGCTTTGGAAATACATAATTTCTAGACTTCAAGTAGCAGGTATTTATAAACAGAAACTAGTTGACTTTCTAAAATTGGTTAACATAGCCATGGGCAGGCTGTAAGGTGAGGAGGAAGTAAATAGGAGTAGAAAATAGTAATGCTACCCAAAATTTTACTTGGGAGTATTTTTTCCCCCACAGTGTTTCTGTGGAGTTTTATGTAGCAGTCAAACTAATGCATGAACCAATTGTGTTGTGAGGGAGTAGATATGTCAACAACAGGTAGAATTTGAGGCCAAAGTAGAAGATGGGAGAGAGGTCTTATATTCAGGACCTGTAATTAACAGCTTGTCACTCACTGGCCCAGGTGGATCACCTGTAAACCCCAGATGGCTTCTTTCAGGTAGTTTATAATCTAGTCAAGTAGGCCAGGCGTATACATATGAAAAGTTAGATAATTGGACATGTAGCTCAGAACAAAGGAAAATAATTTGTTAAGGTTTAATCTGAAATCTCAACCATTGTAAAGTGACAGACATCTCCATACTAGACAATTGCTAAATAAAATAATCCTGGAATCCCTCTTACCAAAATTTTTCCATGTCTAACTTTTTAGCAAATCAGTATGCTCTGCCTTCATAGAGATTTGATTTATTAATTGTGTTAATAACAGAAACGGAATTTTTCCAAACGGTAATCTTACCTACGTTCTAGAAGTTTAGGGGCCTAATCAGAAATAATTGTTGAGATCTTTTTTCCCTTCTAACTTTAACATATAACACTGTGAGTTTCACATAATAAAATTTCAAAATTATATCTAACCATCTCTTTGCCTTGAAATTCTTTTTTTGTGTGAGTCCAGGGTTTTAACTCAGTCATGACAGCAAAAAGGATTTTCAGAATTTATTGAGAGCCTCCCAGAGATTTGGTACCTTTATTCCTTACCACAATCTAGTTTAATATCATTTTACTTAATGTATTTCATTTATTTAATACAGTCATATGCCATTCCATGAAGTTTTGGTCAAGAACAGATTGCGTTTTGGTCAAGAACAGATTGCATATACAACAGTGGTCCCATAAGATTATAATACAGGATTTTTACTGTACCTTTTCTGTGCTTAGATATGTTTCCATACACAAATACTTAACCATTGTGTTATAATTGCCTACAGTATTCGGTACAGTAACATGCTGTATAGGTTTGTAGCCTAGGAGCAATAGGCTATAATATATACTATAGAGCCTAGGCGTGTAGTAGGCTATACCATTTAGGTTTGTGTAAGTACACTCTGTGATGTGTGCACAATGACAAAATCTAACAACACATTTCTTAGAACATATCACCATTGTTAAGCAATGCACGACTATGTCTAGTTTTAAAATCATCTTACGCCAAAATGGTCAAATTGCCAATCCCATTTTATTGTGTGGAAGGAATGGGAAATATTATTATGAATGATGTGTTTCTCCTCATCTGTAAACCATAGGGCTTGAAACGGATGAGTCTGAAGTTTTCTCTTCCTGTTACAAGTCTAAGGATGTAATAAAAAGGTGTGTACTCTTTTGAATTTCAGAGCCCAGGACAAGGCAGCCATGCAGCTGAGTGAGTTGGAGGAGGAAATGGATCAGAGGATTCAGGCTGCAGAACATAAGACGCGGAAAGACGTATGTTTCTGGGATCGGCCTTTCATTCAGCAGATCTTTACGAGGCACTTTTTGTGCGCTGGGCCCCGGGCACTCCCCTGGGTGTCGGGACATGAGTAACAGCAAGTCCAGGCTCCCACAGACACTCCCACAGAGGCTCCCAGCAAGGGGATTTTTACTGGTGGTGGTTTTGGGCGTGACTAAGGAGCAATAGAGATAATAATCAAATAAATAAATAAAGCAGATAATTTCAGATAGTGACAAGTGCAGTGAGGAAACAGCGTGTGTGATAGACAGCGACTGGGAGAGGTGGCTGCTTAGGCTGGGGATCAGAGGCCTAGTTGGAGAAGTGACCCGAGAGCTCAGGTTGAAGCAGGCAGAGCCAGCCTTCGGTAGAGAAGGTGGCTTGACTTCCACCTACCTGTCTCACTGCCCATCTCTGCTGCCAGCTTTAAATGTAATTACAGTGAAATTAAAATCCTGTCATCAAACTTTGTTGTTTTATAGTGGAGCATAGTTGTCCCTCGGTATCCACAGAGAGTTGGTTCCGGGACTCCCCCAACCCCCATACCAAAATGCACACGCTCAAGTTCATATATAAATGGCATAGTATTTGCCTGTAACTTGTGCACATCCTCCAGTACACTTTAAATCATCTTATAATGCCTAATACAATATAAATGCTATTTACAAATAGCTTTTATACTGTATTGTTTTTATTTGTATTATTTTTTATCATTGATTTTATTTTATTTTATTTTTTTAATATTTTCAGTCCATGGTTTGAATTCACAGATGTGGAACCTGTGGATGTGGAGGGCTGATTATATACCTTTATTTGGCATTGTAGGAACCCTTTGCAGTTGAAAGTTGCATGCTACCTTCAGTGATTTTCATTGAAATAATCATTTTTTTCCTTATAAAGTATTTTTGGGTGATTAATGTTACTGAAAACAGAAAATAGACATATTTCTTTGAGTAGCCAATGTTAGGTTAAGAACTCCATTTTAATTTATTCATTTGCCCTGTTAACAATGAAAGCAAGTAGCTAAATAGTGTTCCAGTGGGCTGAGCCAGTAGACCTTGGTTTGCATCCAGGCCCTGCCCTTACCTGGACAAGATTGCACTGGAAAAATAACCTACCTTCTCAGCCTTTGTTGTTCCATCTTTAAAAATGGGACAGTGCCACCTACCTGCTTTAACAAGGATAGCATCGCGACCTGACGTAGTGCCTGAGGAGTGGTAGCCGCACTGTGATTGTCACTGTGCTCTTCTCTGGGGCTCTGCGCACCTTCTGTCCCTTTACCTGTGTGTGCGCATGGGTCTCTGTGTTGTCCTCTCTCTTTATAACAGGTTGAATCAGTATTTGGATGTCACATTCAACCGAGTCAATGGGTCAGGGTTCACGGTCCAGCTTTAGGGCAATGGAGATCCCATTCTTCTGCTAGCACTTTCCTTTTTGTGGTCTAAAAACAGTGAAGTCATTTTTTTTCTGCCCTGTTTCTCTTTATCCACCGTTTTTAATCTGTGTACTCATCATTCGTTAGACACTTATCGAGCACATGTGTTATTCTGGTAACCAATCTCATTGCTTTTTCCAGCTAAATACCTCCCAAATTTGCTGTTGGTAATGGGGACAGGACCTTGGCCTCTACCCCTTATAAATTCACATTTTACTAATTATAACATCATCTTTGGTTTCCTTGGCTTTGGCCCAGGGGTGGCAAATCTGTGGCATCCATGGCGTCCTTTCTCTATTCCACAACAAGGGGTCTGCGGCCAGTCATTCACCACACTGACGTGGCCTCTGAAACCTCAGCAGGCAGCCCAGGACCTCACTGGCAGCTGGGTGGCTTTGGCACTGGGAGGAACCTATTCGCCTGCCTGTCCCTGCACCTGCCTCACACCCTCCTAAACACAGTCTCTCTGGGCTAACATGTTCAGGCCAGTTGAAGATTTTCCCGAATTTCCCTCCAGTCTGCGTGGCACCCCTCGTCCCCCACGGTTCTTCACCCCGAACTCTGGCTGGCTGCATCGCTGCCCACTGCCTGAGACTCTGCTTTTGCTCCAGCTGTTTTCTTTGCCTCGGTGGTTGTCTCCCCACTCCTTTCCACAGTCCTGAATTCTGCAGATCTCAGAGACAGTCTCGCCTCCAATCTCCCAGCATCTACCTGTCCAAGTTTGGGAATGAAATAAGCTAGTGATGAATTCCTTTATTAAGCTCTAAATAAAAGTTGTTGTGTTTGGGTTTGTGGTTGTACGTCCAGTGAAGAGACTTGCATCCAAGTCTATTCTGATGCCAGGAAGCATCATTAGCACCTCATTGTAAGGCCTGGTGTCTTCATCCACCTGTGAAGTGGGTAGTACTTGTTGCCTCACTTGTTAAAGTAGCCACTTAAAAAAAAACAGAAAGAAAAGAAAAAAGGCTGGGCACAGTGGCTCACGCCTGTAATCCTAGCACTCTGGGAGGCCGAGGCGGGAGGATTGCTTGAGCTCAGGAGTTTGAGACCAACCTGAGCAAGAGTGAGACCCCATGTCTACTAAAAATAGAAAAATTAGCTGGGTGTGGTGGTGCATGCCTATAGTCCCAGGTACTTGGGAGGCTGAGACAGGAGGATCCCTTGAGCCCAGGAGTTTGAGGTTGCTGTGAGCTATGATGATGCCATTGCATTCTAGCCTGGGTGACAGATAGACCTTGTCTCAAAAAAAAAAAAAAAAAGTTAACCTTTACGTAAAATGCTGCTCTTCTACTAAGCATTGCACATGGATTATTTAATTTGTATAGATTATTTAATTTTCATGGAGTATTTAATTTACTTAGATTATTTAATTTACATGGATTCTTTAATTTACTTGGAATATTTAATTTAATCCTCACAATAATCTAATAAGAAAATGGAGGCACGGAGAAGTTAAGCAGCTCCGCAGCCAGTAAGTAGGCAGGGAGACCCTTTCGCTCTGGCAGGTATGGAGATGTGGGGGCATGCCATCTCTGCAGAGAGACCCTGCCTTACCCCCGTCAGCTGGCTTCCCATCACGTCTCCCTGGTTTTTCTTCTTCTTCATATCATTTCCTAAAACCGTCTTTCTTCCCTGTCTCCCCACTAGAATGCGTGAGAGCGTCGGTTTGCACTGTCCCCTGCTCTGTCCCCACCCCATGTCCCAGGTGCCTGTGCCTAGAACCATCCTTGATGTGTGGTAGGCTATCGGTGAATATTTGTACGCTGAATTTCACTGGCTATCGGTAGAAAACCGTTTGAATACTGAACACAGGATATAAAATTATATAATTTATTAAGAGAAAAAGGAAATTGAGAGACGTTTCAGCTCATGGGAGTTTCTGAATGGCAACCCCCTGACCTCCCAGGGTATCCTCTTGTCATTCTCTGCTCCAGGAGAATTTGAAGGGACATGTTTGAGAAGCACCAGCCTATGGAAAGGATTTGGCATAGAGATTTGCAGTGATAAGATTTGAATTCAGATGAGGCAGGAACTCTAGGAGAAAGGGTGTACCCCCTATGCCTGATGGCATGATAGGACGTAGGCAAGAACTGCAGCCCTTTGCTGTGCCATAGCTTTTAAATAATTATAGCAATAATTAATTAATTGATGTCCTGGGGCCATTATCATATGTGAGGAACAGTCTTAGAGGTGTCACTCCCAGGCGAGGTGTGTATGTAGGTTGTCAGACTCTGCAGTTCTTTCACTTTCGTGGGTTTCGATTCCAGAACTGCTGCACATCTGAAGTCACTTGGCTTCCTTCTGCCATCCTCCCTCACCATCCTTGTGTTGGAGAATTGCGGTCAGCCTTCGTCTGACACAGAATGTTTCTCACCTATGGGGGTTTGAAGGTTGTTTATTTTGAGAGACTGAACCTATTTAAATTAACAAAGTTTCTCTTTTTTTTTTCTTTTAGGAAAAACGCAAAGCTGAGGAAGCCCTCAGTGACCTCAGACGTCAGTATGAAACCGAAGTAGGAGATCTGCAGGTGACCATAAAAAAGCTTAAAAAGGTAGGAATGTGGCAGCTAGACTTTAGGAACAGCCTTAGTGTCTCAGGGCTGTTAACAACTACAAAGTTTTGGAATCGTGCTGAAGTGGCAGATAGAATCAGATTTCAGGTCAAATGGACTCCTTGGAAAGACTTTTTTCTACAGGTCTCTGAGTTCCTCTTGTGTTTCGGGGGCCACCTGTGTTTTGTGGAGATCTGATAAATATTTCTGATCCCTTGAAGAGTTGTCCGTCAAACTTCAGTTTGCTTCCTTAGTCTTCACCAGCCCTGTGCCCTCACATCCCCATGTCCAGTGGACTCTCTGCTCCGTGACAGCGGAGGCACCGACTTTCTTGGTCATTCTCCTGTGTCCCTGCCCCTAGTTTACTGCAAGGTGCATGGTAGGTCTGTGGTGACTATTTACTAAATGAAATGACTGTTGCTGTCCTAACTAGAAAGTTTCAGATCCAGGGGACCCCTGGTCAGCAGGAGGTGAGAAAGAACTTGTGAAAGTATGAGCAAAGGTGTGATGGGGCTTTGGCTTTTGCTCTACTTGGTTTCTAATGAGCAGGGTCTGTTTCACTCGGGAATGTGCTGGCAGCTGGCTCTGCAGGTGGACGGAGAAGAAGGGAGGGATTTGTAGCATTTGCTGATTTCCATGGTATAAATAACATCGTTACTGATTTCAAGCTACCAAGTTGGTATCACTAAATTCAGAGTTGGGAAGAGATGCTTAAAAGTAGACTGTCACCTGCCGGCTCTAGCACTGTGTTGGACTCACTTCTCGCATGTGAGTTGTTTACATAACTCATGGAAATACTTCGCTAAAATGAAAATGAATGGTTAAAAAATAATCACCCAAGAAAGTGATAATGAGATTAAGTGACAATTAACTGTATTTTGTAGGCTATTGTAATTTAAACCTCTGGGATGATTAAGAACTCTCCTTCGTAGCCTTCCTGGAAAGTTAACATCAATGTCAACTTTATATTTAATTTTCAAAAGTTATTAGACCGTACATACTATGTTTGGATTACAGAACTCAGTGGGCCAATCTCCTGTTCATGCCAGAGCCAGAGATTCTCCTATTAATAGTAACTGTCCTCACTTATTTCTCTGGTTTCTTGAATCTTTAGACATGACAGTGTCTGCAAGAAGAGACAGAATTTCTTGCCCTTCTGTGGCATATGGTGAAGACTAAATGTCACCGAACAGTAAGAGAGGACATAAGTGAGGAGTGAGGAACTCTGAGTCCTTGTTCAGACGGTACCAGTTTCTCCCTGAAACAGCTGGCACAATTACCTTCGCCTTGCTGGTCTTTAGTTTCTCATCTAGAAAATGGGATTAATAATGAACTGTCCTACCCAACCATAATAACTGATAATTTATTGACTTTACAGTTTATTAAGCTCTTTTTCATAATTTTAAAAAATTGAATTGTCAAACTGTCTCTGAGGAAGGTGTAAATATCCTACCTTTACAGCCAAGGACTGAGCTCTAGAGAAGTTAAATAACTTGTGCAAAGTCACACAGCTAATAACTGGTGGCATCATCTCACTACATGGTTTGTGCTTTCTCACTTATTCCAGACTTCCTGCCTGCCCAATGTGGTCATTACACAAAACAATAAGAGAATGTATGTGAAAGGTGGTGAAGAACCGTAGGAAAGTTTACAATGTGTTACAGTCAGTGACAACTTACGTCACTGATTCTGAGAAAATCATTTTTCCCCACAATTTCTCTTTTCTGAAGTCAGAATGCTCTTCTTCCCGTCAGCCACGTGGCAGTCATGACGTAGTCGTGTAAAACCTTCCCTTGGTACCACCTGGCCAAGTGAAGAGGGTCCAGAGTCACACTTAGCCTTGATGGAATTGGGATCCACTTCGATCGATGCACACACATTTTCTAAATGCACACAAGTCCCCTCAGTTCCCAGGGATGTAAGTTAGTTGTAGGAAAGACATTTTTTGTTCTCCATGGTGTAGATGTTCCTGAACCAGTTTAGTCTGGTAATTAATACTGATGAGTCAACCGGCAGGCAAAACTCACATATGTATTTGTGTAAGTGTGTGTGTGTGTGTGTCTCTAGCTTCATGTCATACTTAGATTTCATTGATTTGGGTTATTTCATAAGAATTTTTTAAATTCACCATGAAGAAAACATGGGTGAATCTGACATTAACTCTGCTTTTACAAAATCTTACATTCTTAGGAGGGGAAATAAGACATTCCTACATAATTATCAATATAATACTGGATAGAAAGTGTTAAGTGTGCATAATATAAAGGAGAATATAAATATCCAGACTCAGTGAAACTGGAAAAAGCAAGGACTGGGTTGTCTAATAGTTAAATGGTTTCTAAGAAGAGCTTTTCAATTGTTTCCAAGAAAATTTATTTAATAATAAAAACTTTTAAAAAATGTTTAAATCGTTTAGAGCAAATCTTTACATTTTTATGGATTTTATGTGGTTTAATGATTTATAAACTTGCATAATGTTGAAAATCGAAGACTTCTAGAATTTCCATATCTGTGTTCAAGGATAGTCCTAAACTTAGTCAAAGCAATTCAAAGTGAGTTCATTTGTAAGCGCACAACCTTTATTTGCTCTTTCAGCTCGAAGAACAATCAAAACACATAAATCAAAAGGAAGATGTGGTTGCATTGAAAAAGCAAATTTATGATCTATCAATGGTAAGAATCACCTTTTCACTTACGAAAATGCACTTCCTGTTAGAGTACATAATCGTGCTGTTATTTCAGTGTTCCAGGAATAGCAGCTTATGGAGAAATTAATACTATGGTTAGAGAAAGTCTTCAAAATACATTTGAGCAAAGGTATTATTTATGCAGGCTTTTTCCCCTCAATGATATGCCACTTATTGTGAAAGCTTTTAATTTATTTTTTATTCAAAGTAGTAAAGACATGGTGCTTCAACTTTATGGAACATAGTTAACCCTGCGTTCTTGTAGCATTGGCTCTGGTCTGTGTCCCCGGTTTGGGGAGATGAGGATGTCAGTGCCTTGCCCTTCCTCCAACTTTTCTCTTTCAGTCTCTTTCCATCTTCTGCTGACTATATCTTTACTTTTTCTATGACAAAATTGAATATGTATATCTGTTCTGCTATCATGATTAAGTTTTATTTATTTTGATTTTAGGTTGACTCTAAAATTCAAAAGCAAATAACATTTTTTTTATTATGATACTAAATACTTTCATCACAGAGCCAGGACGTGAGCAAGGATTGCACTTCTTTCTCTCCAGTCTTTATCCCTGTACCACTTAAAAGAGAAAGTTCCTGGCGTCAGTGTCTAGTGAATTCCCTTAATACAACAGCAGTTCCAAATGTTGCATCTTAGTTGGCTTTGTATTTGGTTCTTGACTTTCTTATAGAGTTACCTATTTTTCTTGGATTTTCTGGTCGAGGTTTTGGTTTCTTGTTGTAAAAAGAAACTCTAATCATGATATCACTGATACTTTGACTTCTTATTGAGTCTTCCCAATGCATGAAATTTATTTAGCTTTTCTCCTTGAATATATTAATTTTAGAGTCCGTGAAATTTCAGTTCTTATTGGACTGATTGTTTTTTAAACTTACTACCAACATATCATCCTGGAATTTCTTTTTATTTGGTCCTTTGTTGAATCGCAGTGTTTTGCGTATTACAGTTTTTGTCCTTTGGGTTTTCATACTTATTTTGCTGTAGTACATCCTTAAGGAACTTCTTCAGAAAGGGTATGTGAGAGAGAAATTTTCTCAGTTTTTGAATATTTGAGTATGTCTACATTCCTCTCACAATTTGTTGAGTTTATCTGGATAAATAGGCTTCTCTTGGACTTCTCTGGGGTTTATTTATTTAGGTCTTTTAGCCACCTCTCCCTGCCCCCCACGAAATACGCAATCCTTGGTGGTCTGTTCGTATTTTAAAGTAAAAGATATTTAGCTTGATCATTTTGGGTGGCTGATGTAAGAGTCCTGTGTTTCTAGGTAAATAGCTATTTACCTCAAGGCCCCTCCTCTGAGAGGGCATCTTCCTAGGAGCTCTGTGTGTGCAGGTGGCTGTCACACTGTGGGCCCCCAGTCATCAGAATGAGTGAGGCAGGGATACTCAGAGGGGAGCATTAGCTTCCCTTGTAGAGTCATTCAACTTTTAAAAGACAGTCTCCCCGTCTTGTTGCCTCTGGGATCTACCCTGGCTATCTGCTCTTCTTTGCTAGGGGTGAGAAAGAGGGTGGGCTTGGCGGGGCTCAACATACAGTTTTAATCTCTATTTCCAGCCCCATGTCTCATTCTCTCTTTCTGGCTTCGGCCTGGCCCCTGCCTCCCTGTGTTCTACATCAGAACCTTCAACACGCTTCTTCGAGATTTCCTTTCCCCAACTCTCTCCCCTTTGGCAGTGCATTTGCATTCAGTTTCCATTTTCCAGAAATGTGTGTCAGTCACTTGACTGCTCATGGGTCCCTCTCGCCTTCTTTTAACTGTTATTGGTTTATTTCCTTTGGTATTTCTTGTTAATGTTTCAGAAGAGGAAAACGACAGTCATGTACTCAGTCCACCATCTCAAACGGAAACCTCCAATTTTTTTAAAGAAAAATAAAGAAATTTCCTAATCACACAGGCTTATTTTTAAGTACAAAACTTAAAAATGTTAAGTGATAAAATTTATGCAAAAAGTAGCCAGTGTACCTGGTAATAGGTACAATTAATTCCACTGAATGTTTATCAATAGTTTGCAGCTCTTATTAAGTAAAGAAGGTATCCAAATGTTTGGTGTTAGTTAATTTGCCAGTGACATGTGAAAGTTCATCATGATACACTCTTGACTGTTGTAATTTGGTACCAAATGTCACGCATAAAAAAATGTAGAACAACTTTAAGGATTTAGATTTTTTACACTTTATTTATTTATAATAATTTCAAATTACCTTAAGGTGACAATTAGGTCTTCGAACACCAAACCTTGAAGAATGGTGGAAGGGTGGGAGGTGGCGTATGAGAGGGCTACGCTACACTTAGCGTCATTTCTCCCAGGCAGAGGAAGCTGAGGCTCCGACTCTGATACTCTGCTGTGTTGCTTTTCTCTAGGAAAATCAGAAAGTTAAGAAAGATCTTTTAGAAGCACAGACAAGCATAGCCTTTCTTCAGAGTGAACTAGATGCTTTGAAAAGTGATTATGCCGATCAGAGTCTGAATTCTGAAAGGTAAGAAACTTTGCATTTCTCTTTTTCATTTGAATGGGACATTCCTTTGGATCATCATCCAGGCAAATGAAGCTCATGTATGTGAAGCTATGTAATAATAAAGGGTGAGCTATTAACTGTGCTAATATGTTCTTTCCTTTCTAATTATTGTACTTTCAGTGTCAGATTTCCTAATGCTTTTTTGTTTTGATTTTTTTTAAACAAACAGATTAATTAGTTTAATTATCGACTGCTTAGGACAGTGCAGGGCTTAATAATTGTTAGACTGGGAGCTAGAAGAATATACCTAAAGTATCAAGAGTCAGTGCTCAGTGCTTTATAGGTAAGAATCCTGGCCATAAAAACGTAAGAAAGGGAAAGCAGACCTCTTAGGCAAGTCATTTTATTTTTCTAAGTATTAGTTTTGCAGTATGGTGTTAATAACGTAAGACCTAATACATTCACACACTCATACACAATCACAGACATGTATTTATATATAAAGGATATAGGCATGGATATTTATATAAGCATATATAAATATAATAGTATAGATATTTGTATACATATGTATCCCCTAGGACATGTAGACTTGGGAAAAACATCTTGTTCTTTGTCTTCAAACTTTAATCAGAATTAAGGTCTTGTAATGGAAAACAGTGAAACATTTATTAAGTACTTACTGTATATATAGGTCCCCAAGCTAGATAAGGAGTTGTGAGTGTAGAGTAGATACAAAAATGAAAAGATGTGGTCTCTGCTTTTCGAGTGCTTCAAGTTTAGTTGGGAAAAAAAGCAAAAGGATTCTGGAGTAAAACATCATAAGAGCTAAATAATCTCAGTAGTGCCACCACCAGGGTCGTGGTTTGGGTTAATTGCCATGTGATCACAGAAGAAGTTTTTAGTTGAGAAGAAGTGAAGAACTTTATTAAAAAGGAGACGGTAGAGGTGCGCTCAGGTGGAGGGATAGGTTTGTGCTGGTGAAAGGGGGAAGAGGCAGCAGGGACAGCAACATCAGCTGTGACACTGCCACCTGCCCGGCTCTGTCCTCGGTGCTTTACTGGTACTAACTCATTCAGTCCGGGGAACGCCCCATGGGATAGGGACTTCCATTATCGCCATTGTACAGATGGGGAAAGAAAGTCTCAGAGACGTTCCAGGTGAGACAATAACCAAAGCAGGGGCAGGGACATGGATGGGGAAGGATAAGTCTGGCTTGGGGAAAGGCGGTCAGACTGCTGGATAGAAAGAAATATTTTGAGTTGAAAAAGCAAAAGATGAAAACAAAAGTATAAAAGCTTATTTAAGGCTATAGTGTTAGGGGCCCAGAATTTTGGGCTAAGGAATGTAAATGCTTATAGACAATTGGGAAACTTTTAGCTTCATCATCCAGGGAGCAAATGGAAAGGATCTTGTGGACAAAACTTGATAGCCTGAGCGTCTGGGGATGCTAGCGATGGGGTTTGTGTGCTAAGGGTGAACTGCTGGCTGGAGGCAAGTGGCAAAGGCTGTGAGTGTGCAGTTTGAGGAGGGGCCAGGGCTTCCATGATAAAGCAACAGAGGGGTGGCTGGGGGAGTTTCTAGCAAGCCTAGCAAGCCAGGTCCTGCGAGTATCTCTGTGGCTTAGGGTGAGAAGAAGAGGGAGAGCAGGGGTAGGGTTGAGGCCAGGAGAGGAGAAGGAATCACAGGAAGGGAGAAAATAGATGGAGCTGGGATTATGTAAGGCTTGGAATGAGCAGAGAATGCTCAGAGGATCGAGGGCGCTGCTTGCATGACAGGCTGGGGAGAGGGGACTCAGGAGCTGGTCAGAGGTTCAGTCCCCGTGGAGAACAGAGCCAGGCAGCAGGGGCAGGGATGGAAGAGCTGGTGGGTACCAAGGTGCAGTTGAGGAGGAGAAACTCCAGATTTCTAATGTCAGCGGTGGGGCAGAGGCTGGCACGGGGCAGCACAGGCTGTGGGTGTGTTGGTGGAGTTGCAGAAGAAGAAGGCTGCTAAAGCCACAGTGGCGTGGAGCAGGCAGAAAGCCACGGCCAAGGACACTCGTCTTTGAAGAACGTGGAAGAGGTTCTGGGAGGGCGGGTGGAGGTGAGGCAGGACTGACGTCTAATCCTCATTCAAACATAAGATGTAATCTTACAGGGATCTGGAAATAATCCGAGAGTACACAGAAGATCGAAATAGTCTTGAGAGGCAAATCGAAATGCTCCAGTAAGTGCACAAATCAAATCTCATCACATTTACGTTTTACTTATTTCTTGTTAATAAAACATGCACCACGTAGAACACAGGTTGCCATCTAAAGACTGGGTGTGCAGGTTGGCGTATGTTCCTTCCCATGGCAGTGGAGATACCTCAGTGTATCTGCTTTGCTTCCGACGCTTCTAATCCTAAAGACGTGACTCAAATGCAGGGAATACAGTATGATTCTCTAAAACTCCTCAGAAGTCAGGGGATCTCTGCCAGTGTCTTTTTTGAGTCTCTGTAAACAATGGCCCTGACCTCTGGGCTCCCTCTGCGCTCCCTCTGCACACTGTGTCGGTCAGGCTCCTCACGTCCGTGAGGGCCACAGGGCTCTGCCCACATAGTCATTCATTCTCAATTTGTTGTGCATGGTTACAGGTGTATTTTTTCTTAGGTTGTTTTTTTGTCTTAGGTTGTTTTTCTCTCCCCAGATGGAAGTATGATACTTGCTCTGTCAGCGTCACAACTAAGTTGCAGTGATTCCATCCTCTGAGGGTCTTCCCCACAAACCTCGCCTCTCCCTCCCCTTTCTTTCTTTTCCACCCATGCAGTATTTTCTTCTGGTTTTAGTTCCACCAAATGAGGTAAAATGAGGCTTGACCAATTTTTTTTATTACCATTTTTAAATGCTTATTAACTCTCACCTGTGGCAACCGTAGAGTTCCTTTATGACAATAATCTTTTGAGTTCATTCTTTCATTCATTCAACATAGTTTTAGTGAGCACCTTTTACAGGTCAGGTGTGCCAGGAGCCGAGGACTCCTTGTAGGGCTAGTCTAGGGGAAGGAGGCAGGAACTGATCCATAATCATAGAAATACATATGAGTTGCCAAGTGAGAGAGATACGGCAAAGGGGAGGTCCATGCCTCCTAAGGGAGCTCTGGCCCATCCAAGAAGGTCAAGGAAGTGTTCCCAGAGGAAGTGAGGACTGAGCTGAGGTGTGAAGGATGAACTGGCCTTAAGCAGGAGCAGATTAGCCAATCTGTGAGGTAGGGGCTCTGTTAATATCCTCATTTTATATAAGAGAGCACTGAAGCTCTGACAGCTTAATTGACTTTTGTTAAATCAAATGGAAATACGTACCCGAGTTGGGATTTGGACCCAGATCTGACCGAGGTTACCATCCAAGTGCTTACCTGGTACGTGATGGTACACCAGGCCTCGAGTAGGATGCCAGGGGTGTGAGACTGGCAGAACTTAATACATCCGTGCCTGACCCTGGGGTGTGTGGACTGGCTGACTGGGTTCAGACATTTAGGTAACAAACATGCATGAAACCTGCTCAAACCGTGGAGGTACCTGAGGGAAGAGTGAGCTCCAACAGCGCAGCTAATTCATTCCAAAAATGCCCCAAGACCTTTAAAGAGCAATAACTAATCAATTAATTTGTTGTAGTTTCAGTAGTGAATCGTGATCTCAGTTTATGGGGTTTGAAAGGAGTTGCTAGAAAGTTGCAAAAGGTGATGTTATTCCACATTCCGAATGTTACACCTTGAAAAGAAGGTGATGACATTGACCCCCACTAATACGTCCCCTGTCTTTGTCTTTATCTGTTTGTGTCTTTGCTCTGTAGAACAGCTAACCGGAAGCTGCATGACAGTAACGACGGCCTTAGGAGTGCCCTGGAAAACAGTTACAGCAAATTCAACAGATCCTTGGTAGGCCATATAATAGATACTATATTTTGTTCTTTTTCATGGTAGAGTATTTTGGAGGTGATGAAAATCATGTAATTTCTTAGAGAAGAACTTCATGGAGATCCTTACAATAATGAAAAACTCTTGCCATAACATAAAAGGAGATAACATTTTTCCAAATTAAAAATTATGCTACCCCTCTGTAGAAATAATTGCCTCGCTGTTAACCCAATTCTTTTGTTAGATGTTCTAGGAAACTAGAGAAAGATGTATAAGGTGACAGCTTTGCCCTGGGAGAGTTTATAATGTAGTAGGAAGTCAAGATGTGCACAGATAGATAGCAGTAATGTAAGAAAAAGTGGAAAATTCCATGGAGGTAAAAATAAAATATTGCCCCATTGAGAGGAGGGAGAGGGGGGTCTGGCTGAGGGGTGGGTTTAGACACACTGAGTACTATTTATGACGGTCAGATCACCAGAATGGGGCCTTGGATTTCAAACCCTCCTGCAGAAACAAGCTAAGTCCCATTTGGAATCTTGAAGACTTTCCCCAAATTGCATTTGTCATAAAGCCTCTTATCCCACTTTTGGGGACCGGCTTCCATCATAAGATTCCAGTGCCACATTTGGATATGGAAGAGTCAGTCACTAAGCCAAATTATGGTTTGAGAAGAGGTTAAGTCCAAGAAATTTGGTGTCACAGGATCCTGGCAAACTGGGGAGCCGGAGTGCTCCTTTACGGAATGTGCAGTAGGCTTTGGAATTAAGATATGATCAGGAGGAGAGAGTACTACGGTCGGTTATCTTTGTTGCAGATTTTCCTTGATTTTCGTGCTCACATTTGCTCCTGTAGCATACTGAACTTTTAGTTACATTCAAAGTTAAATAGTATGCTACAGTTAAAAAAAAAAAGTGTGTGTGTGTCCCTGCCTGTGTGGGTATAAAATGTTTGCATGGACTAACAAATAATTACTTATATATTACAGCGCATAAATAATATATCCCCAGGGAATACAATCACTAGAAGCAGTCCCAAATTCAGTGGTCATTCTCCTCAAACTCCAGGCTATGACAGGTATGTTAACACCTGCTTACTTTTTGTTTGACTTCTGCATCAAAGTTAAAAGGAAAATAAATTTCCTTGGAGGTGAATTAAAATAATGGAATGTATTTTGGTCACTAATTTCTGTCATCTTATTTTGAAGTTCTGAAATGCAAACCATGTAAAAACTAAAAGTAAAAATGTTTCAGGGAGGGCAAAGTTATTTCCTTAAGATGTCATGACTTAGTTTTATATATACTCACAGTTACCTCACCCCTCACATCATGTCTTGGTTCTTAGAAGTGGACTCAGAAAGAGACGTTTCAGGGAAACCAGTGGAGTTGTGGTATATGATGTTGCAGTGAACGTGGTCTATGACGTTGAGACCGTTGGCATGACCTGTAAATGTTTAATAGCCCAGTGTAGTATTACGTGAGCTAGTTGCAGGAAAAGGAAACTTTCAAAACAAGTGGAAGAATGGCTAGTAGATGTTTATAAGCTACTGTATTGAAGGAGTCACAGAGGCTTACCAAAAGTTAAACTTTAGCCCTGTATTTAAACAAATGAACTAAAATATTGGGCTTGTTATTGCTTTAGACCTAGTAGCAAACACTTAAGGATTACATGTGTGTATATACGTATACGTCCAGTGTTGCTAATGAAAGAGTTAATTTTGTAATATGGCAAAATTTGAAAGTGGAAGTAAAGGCATCAGCTAAAGGTTTCCAGTTCTCCCTCGCTTTGTGACTTTCTGATTCGTGTTCATCCCCTTTTCATTTGGGTGCTTTTGGTAAAAAGAATGATGTACTTAATATCCCGATGATAGCAAATGATCAAGCTGCCATCCAGGAAGGCCTGTTACCAGCGCTTATTGGTGACCATTTCTAAGAAAATTCTGTCCAGGTGTAAAATGTTTTTATTTTTTACTGATTTGTTATATAATACATTTTAATGGCTTACTGATAGGCAGTTGAGAAATACAGATTTTTTTAAAATGTGTAGGTGTGATGCCATTTTTTCTTGGCTAACATTTAAGATCAATTCTGAGCAAATTGGGGGAATGGTATATAACTGAAAATTATTTCAGAAATTTTACCATGATTCATTTTGAAGAATAGACACCATACATAAGGTTCATAAATACTGAACTAAAAGCTCCTCAACAGAAGGTGCTAAGGGACAAAGTCTTCACATCACTGGCCCCTGCGAATGACAAGAACATAGCACTCATGTGCTCATCTTGAACTGTAACTGGAGGCCACTGTTGCCTGGAGTGATGTTCTTTCTAGGGGGTGATTAATTTGATACAAGATGTTAACATTTGTTTTCTTCTTGATGCTAATATTAAAGCTTAATAAAAGCATGTTACACGTTTAATTTTATTGTTTTTATAGCTTTATTTGATTTTTAACTTTATAAAATTTTTATTTATAGTCAAATTTTGGTTGATCTTAATTTATAAATTTGGCTTTGTGTTTTTTGTAAGAACTTGAACCAAAAATAAAACTTCTTTTATATTTTTACACAGTTAATTGTAATGAAAACATTCTTGGAGAAGGTAAAAATTGTTCACTCTGAAAAAGATATGCATTTCAGTTAAGTTTGAGAAAGTTTGATATGTACCTATCATTTTAATTCAGAGTCTAGATAGATATTCATGAAGGTGATCCCTCAATTCAGGATTTCACTTCTTTGCTCCTTATCAAAAATACAAATAGGTTTTTTTTAAAAAAAGGTCTGACCAGTGATGAAGACATAAAATAGTTTTCACATTATAACAGTTTTCTTATGTACCTTACAGATTGACTTAAAATGTTTCGGAAGACTTTCTTAAATAATGAAACAACAAAAATATATTTACACACCCACACACATATTTAGTTAGCTGTATAAATTGAGATATGGTATGAAATTCTTGCCTCAAAATAAAGACTTAATAATTGAGCAACATAGAATAAGATGTTAATTTTTTCCTCACTTATAAAATCTTAGGGTGTCACAAATGGAAAAACCCATCAAGTCAGGAATTCCACATTTATCTGAGGCATCTCCCCATGAAGCCTCTCCTGTAGGGGTGTTTCTGGACTGTGTATCAACACTGAGTGGCAGAGTACTCATCTCATACGTCAGCCCACACGTTCCAGTACCACATATTTCTAATCGCCTGTCACCTTTCACCATGTCGATTAGAAATAGGATTCCCAGAAAAGTTTACCTTATGTTGTCTTGTGCAACCTGAGAGGATATATCCTTCTTCATGTGTCAGCTCGTCAAGTATTTGAAGAGAGAAACCGTTGAGACTGAAGCTGAGTGTACTACACTGTTCCTCGCATCTGAGGTTTTGAGTCTCACATTACTGGGCTTGTCTTTCCTGCCTGGGTTTTCAGCATCCCTTGTAAGTAGAGATGTTACCCGGAAGTGGACACACTGTTGAGAATGTGGTCTGACCACATTAGAGTAAAAAGGCTTACATGGTGTATGTACATTTCTATTCACACAACTTGAGATTACATTTATGTCTTGGGCATGCTGATTCTTTTTGTATCTGGAAATAGGGTGATTTTAAAAAAATAGCTTCATTGATTAACTGTTCAATTTGAGGGTCTTTATCTTGATTGTTACACAGAGTGAACTGATGCTGCTTTGAACATTTTGTTTCCCGTGATACCTAATAGTGAACTACACCGTGGCTCTTGGCAAAAGTGAGAATGTCAGTTTCCTCAATTCCACGTAATAGCGTGTGGTCTGCTGCCTGTGCGTTCTTTGGCATCGCTAGCCCTCGGGTAAAGTGGTCTCCTCTGTCACCAGGTCATTTCGCCCTGCCTATGTGGATGAGGACTGCGACTCCTTGGCCCTCTGTGATCCTATGCAGAGGATGAACTGTGAAGTTGACAGCCTGCCTGAGAGCTGCTTCGACAGCGGCTTGTCTACTCTGAGAGATTCCAACGAGTATGACTCAGAGGTGGAATACAACAAGCTCCAGAGGGGATTTCAGAGGATACACGCGGCTCAGGAGAGCTTTGGGGGCGATGCGTCAGACACAGATGTAAGCCCCAGAAACCACTGCTCTCCTAGGCCTGGCCTTTGATTGAAATCTATCACCATCTTTGCCCTTTGTCTGTCATGGAAATCCATTTTAAAGGTCACGCATATGAAGCATACCCAGAAGAATGTTCTTTCCTCCACCAAGTTAGAGAGAAAGTCTCATACATTGCCATTCAGGGCCACTCTTTTCCATAACGGCATCAACTGTAGATTCAGTTGCATATTTTTCTTCTCTTTTATCTATGATATATATGTGTAATGAGAGACTTTGTTTTTTAACTGCTGTCTTTTTTTAAAAATAGGTTCCTGATATAAGGGATGAAGAGACATATGGTTCGGAAGGGGTGGCTTCTGTCTTGGACTGGAAGCCCCAAGGCTCTGTTAGTGAAGGCAGCATTGTTAGTTCATCAAGAAAGCCCATCTCGGCACTTTCCCCCCAGGTAGGTAGTTTCTGGGACACTCTTACTCATGAACACTGATGATTTTCGGTGCTATGTTACTTATTAGGAAGAAAGTGACACTACCTTTATCACGCACTGTCCTTTTTCCCCCCAGACAGACCTAGTGGATGACAACCATAAAGCTTCTGGCTCACAGAAGGCTTACAAGATTGTGCTTGCTGGGGATGCTGCGGTGGGGAAGTCTAGTTTCCTCATGAGACTTTGTAAGAATGAATTTCGAGGAAATACAAGCGCCACCCTGGGTATGGCTCCTATTTCAGTTAGTAACGGGAAAATGACCTTCCTTAGCTTGAATTTTTTTCCCCTTTGGGATTATATACATAGATACACAGATATACAGATCTCTTTTTCTCTCTGTGTGTACATACGTGTGTGTGTGTGTGTGTGTGTGTGTGTGTGTGTGTGTGTATCGTTGACTAGTGAATGGTCCTTCTCTGCTTTGGCTAAGGCTCAGCTGTCGGAAGAGAAGTCTGACAAAGGACAGAGCTCTATCTGCTTAGCCAGTGGGAGGAACTGAACCAAGTTTAAAGCCTGAGATGTCAGATTCATCTATTCAGCGTATATTTCCTGAGTCCTGCTCAGAGCTAAATACTGTTGTAGGTGCTAAGGACGAACAATGAAAGCCAACTAAATCCCAGCCTGCAAGGAATTTATATCCCAATGGAGGGAAATGGACAAAAAGCGAATTTAATAAAATGGGATTTGGGGAGAGTTGCGGTTTTACACATGGTGCCTAGGGAAAGCCTTTCTGATATGATGTCATTTGATGTTGATAAAGTGACAACATTGATGGCCAGTTTGTCATTGTGGTCAAAAAGCCACGCTCCCTTCCCACCTTCATAACAGAAAAGTAGAATAAGTAGTACCCTGATTTTCCAAATTTGCATAATAATCAGTAAAAGGAGTTGAAGATATGCAAATTATCATTTATTTTTCCTCTTCATCTAAAGCGTTCTTATTTTGATAACCAGAAATGTTGGAACAGATTGATTGCCCTCTTCACAATGGGCGTCTTTGTAAATTTATGGTTTTCTGATACACTCTTCAAGATAACAAAGCTGAAAGTTCACTTCAGTTTGATTCATAAAAAGACTAGAGTATTTGGTTTGGTTGCTGGAGACCATGATGCATGTATGTATGTGTGTGTGTGAGTGTGTATGTGTGTACACATACACTCATATGCCCATATATACATACACATGTACATATACCTGCAGGTGCATATCTACACACACATGTGCTCGTAACACATATATACACAAATACATATACGAGGTCTGTCCAGAATGTATCCAGCCATTGTTAATATAACAAGAACGATTTGCCCAACGTTGATGTATCCAGAGGCAGCCAAGGAGACTAGACTGGAATGCGCATGTGTGAACAATGGCAACTTCACTGTAGTAGTGGGGTGAGCATGTGTGCTGTGTGGCCATCGCATTTAAAATGACGGAGTGAGGTGGTCGCCCGGCTAGCTCAGTCGGTAGGGCATGAGACTCTTAAAATGACTGAGTGAATAGAGCAATGAATCTGCATCAAATTTTGCCTTAAGCTCGAACATTCCTCTGCAGAAACTATTCGGATGATTCAGAAAGCTTTTGGGGATGATGCAATGAGTGCAGCTCATATAAAAGCTTGGCACAAATGCTTGAAAGATGGCGGAGAATGTGTTGAAAGTGATCCACGTTCTGGAAGGCCTGCAACAAGCAGAACACCTGAGGATGTTGAATGTGTATGGGTTAGGTTAAAAGAGGCTGGGAGAACTGTATGGAGTCCCAAGGCACCTACTTTGAAGGAGACTGAGGTGTCGTTGTCCTATGTACAAATGTTTCTTGTATCTTCTATCTAATTCAATAAATATCTATTTTTTGTATTACATGGCTGGATACTTTCCAGACAGACCTCGTATGTACATATACATATACACATGCACATTGATGCACGTCCACTCATACACACATGCACACACGTACAAATATGACTGACTTCATCTAATCATCTGAGAAAATAGAACATAGATTTTTCCTTTGTCCTTCGATTAAATCCATCCCCAAGTTGGCCAACCTGCAGATGGTGCATCCGCATGCGCATGTGTGGTCTGACTTATAATTAGTACCAGAAGGTAACTCTCCTTAAAGGCCATGTTCGTTCCTTTCTACCTTTCTGAGCTTGGGCTTACTGGCTTTTGCCTCATCTAAATAGGGCTTGAAAGTAAAAAGCCAATGCAATCGTTTACGTCATGTTCTCCACTCTTGTGTTCTTTCTCAGGAGTCGATTTCCAAATGAAAACCCTCATTGTGGATGGAGAGCAAACAGTTCTGCAGCTCTGGGACACGGCTGGTCAGGAGAGGCAAGTACTTCCCATCATATTTCGAGCTCTGCTTGGGTTTGCAAAGACAAGTCTTGTAGGAGAGTTGATGCTCTTTATACTCATAAAATTAAAACATGCTTTATAATTATACAGATAATCATCATTTTAAGAACGCTATGTTTTCCCACATCCTCTCCTCCTTCATTTGTCTATGGGTTGTATGAGGAGAAGGTCTTTAAGCTTCCTTTGAGCTGATGTTTAGTTGGGACAAAGAGAACGGCCTTTCCTAATGAGAGAGACAAAACACTCCCGAATGCACTGACAGTGTAAGGAGTTACTTGGCTGTGGAACCATAAATGATGGACGGGAGAACCAGTCAGCTCTCTTTGGTTCAAAAAGAGGTACAAACTAAGTAGCAGATGCACATCCGGTGATGGTACCTTATCTTGCATCCATTGCCGATAACCAGAGCATTAAGCATAGGTTTTAATCTTGTCTAACTCTGGAGACAGAACCTATTCAGTTGTTTAACACATAAGTGTGGAGTGCCTGCCTCTGTACCGGGCACTGTTTAGCATGCTAAGATTGAACTGGGAACAGACACAAATACCTGCTCTCATGGAGCTCATATTCTCTAGCAGACTGGGAGTTTCTTTTTTCTTTCTTTATTTTTTAATTTATTTTTATTTATTTATTTATTTTTTTGAGACAGAGTCTCACTCTGTTGCCCGTGCTAGCGTGCTGTGGTGTCAGCCTAGCTCACAGCAACCTCAAACTCCTGGGCTCAAGCGATCCTCCTGCCTCAGCCTCCTGAGTAGCTGGGACTACAGGCATGCGCCACCATGCCCGGCTAATTTTTTCTATATATATTTTTAGTTGTCCAGCTAATTGCTTTCTTTCTATTTTTAGTAGAGACGGGGTCTCGCTCTTGCTCAGGCTGGGGGAGTTTCAACATGTTAAAAATATTCGTGGTTGACATGGCCCTATTTAAAATACTTACATGATATCGAACTTGGTTTAGAGATTGGATATGTGCGTTGAAGTGTGCTTTTCCCCGTGGATCCTCCCACCCCCATGTGTGTAAAGCTCTGGCATGCTGTGCTGTGCTGCACGGCCAGTTCTTCCACACACGTGCAACACTCCCTTCCTGCTACCCCCAAGTAGTTTTTTCTCTAGTCTATACCTCCTTCTAGCCGCCTCTGCCTGCATCCCACATGGGGGTTCTGGTAGTTTGTTGCTGAGGTTGAGATTTTTAGAAATGATGCTCTCAACCTTGTCCTGGTTATGCTTTGGGGTGGGTAGACTTTCTTGGGATTGTTTGGGACGTAAAATGAATGGCTTTTCTAAGTCAGCCAGATTCTCATCCTGTTACCTTTCACCAGGTCATTCGAGGCCTTGGAGATGGCTATTTCACGGTAATATGTTATAGTTAGATTCGTCTCAATTGGGGCTGATTTTAGAAGATGAGGAAAAAAATGAGCATAAAAGAGAAGAAGGATGAGGCAGCACAAAATGACTGATTATGTACATTTCTCTTTCCCAGATTCAGAAGTATTGCCAAGTCTTACTTCAGAAGAGCAGATGGTGTTTTGCTGCTGTATGATGTTACATGTGAGAAAAGCTTCCTGAACGTACGAGAATGGGTAGATATGATTGAGGTAAGAAATCAAAATGGAGAAACAGAAAATTGCACGAGGGAGTTATATAGGCTGTCTTAGAAAATGCTGTTGCTCTTCTTTGTTGGAGTGAACTTGATTAGAAGCCATTGATCCAGTGGCGTCTCCTGTCAGGAAGACTTCGATGCTGGAGGCAGAACTGGCAGCATGGTCTCTTCCTCGGAGTTGGAAGAGGAAAAACTTCCTCGGCAAGTTTCTGTGAAGCCAAGGACACAACCAAAGGGAACTTCTGGGAATACAACTTCCAGGTTTTCGTATAGATAAAATCAGAACCCCATGTAAGCAAAGCAAAATTCAGGCAACCTAAGAAGAAGCAGCTCTTACAAACAAGGAGGTGGCGTGGTTGGGTGTGTAGGGGCTTCCATGTGTGAGAAGTACAGGCAAAACACCAGCTGGGTGTGAGCATGTGCTGAAGTCCACGTTCTGTGGCAGCTGTCTTCTCAGCCTCATTCTGGCTGTGGTTTGGGGTCTTCAGACATCTCAAGGTACTACTGAAATACCAGTTGGTATTTTAAACATGTAGGGCAGAGTGTATGCTGTCTTTGGTTAAATGGGATGGTGTCTTTCATCTGAGGAGCTTTCATATCCTCTTGTTTCATGGTAACTAAGTTTTAAAAGTAGGAAATGACTTTGGCCACATTTAGGGTGCTGTCAACGTTATTAATCAACATAACACTACAGTTCAACCTATGGTTCAGCACACTCTTGAAAAATAAACTAATACAACTTTTCAAGTAAGTTTATTATCTGTAATTTCAAACAGGCATTAAATTGCATTAGCGGCTAAACAGAGAACCGATTGCTGTCTGATCTCAAGTTAGCCTCTGGCATTAATGTTCTCTTTTCTAACTAAAGAAGTAATGTGAGAAATGACTGATTGCAATGGCATTAGGAATTCCACAATGATAAATAAATATGCACTTTTTTCTACCAAAATATCATGACTTAAAATGATTATAAATGCAATGAAAGTGCGTTCACATCTATGTAACATTTTTACTTCAGAAAATTTTCCACATGTTATATTCATCTCTCTAACATCTACGAAAGGAAGTAAGAAATGTTATTCTCACTTTTTATGAGAAACCTGAGGCATAGAAAGTATGTGGCACTTGCTTGTATTTATTTAGTGATATGAAGTAGAATGGGGGCTCAAATCAGACCTCCTGATCCAACACCGGCTGCTACTTTGATAAAGCACCAGAGTGAGCAGTAGATTCCTAGAAGAAGAAGACTTTGATGCCCAGAAAGGAATTCCCAGGGACAGTCGTGCATAGAGGAGCGGCAGCTACTCAAGGGAGCAGATGGAGCTCCCTGGGATACAACAATGTGTCTAGAGAATAACGGATAATCCCGTTTAACTCATATACACCGGTATTTAGAATCTATAGACAAACACTTTATTGTTGACATTTTGGACTTAGTCTTCACTTTAAATCTTTCGATTATGCTCAAGAAAAGGAAGCACAAAAGGCAAGGTTAGCCGCAGTGGAATGGCCTGTAAGTGGAGTGGCCCACTGCTGCCATTTCCTGCGTGTGCTGAATAACATTTTCAGCCATCCTTTTCATAGCGGCTGAGAAGGAAGAAAACTATAGACAAGGTGAACTCTGAAATTTGTTTCGGGGGAAAAAATTAGATACCATGTGGTATTCAACTTTCACCTTAGGAAAAGGGCACAATGAAATTTCTCCATGGTTCACTGTTGCTAATTTGAACATTGAATTGTCCTAGAGGGCCAATCAATTAATTAATTTAGAGTTATTTTGTGTTTTTGTTTATTTTATTTCAAAATATTAAGTGGGAACAAATGTTTTTGTTACATGGATACACTATATAGTGCAGAAGTCAGGGCTTTCAGTGTGTCTGTCACCTGGACAGTGTTCATTGTACCCAATAGGTAAGTTTTTATTCCTCCCCCTTTCCTCCCCCCTTCTTAGTTTTCTTTGTGCCCATGTGTGCCCATAGTTTAGCTCCTCCTTATTAGTGAGAACATGTGGTGTTTATTTTTCCATTCCTGAGACACTTCACTTAGAAGAATGGACTCCAGTTCCATCCAAGTTGCTGCAAAAGACATTATTTCATTCCTTTTTATGGCTGAATTGTACTCTGTTGTATATGTATACCATATTTTCTTTATTCACTCATGAATTGATGGGCACCTAGGTTGATTTTGTATCTCTGCAATTGTGAATTGTGCTGTGATAAACATTCGGGTGCAGGTGTCTTTTTGATAAAATGACTTCTTTTCCTTTGGGTAGACACTCAGCAGTGGGATTGCTGGATTGAATGGTAGGTCTCCTTTTAATTCTTTCAGGAATCAGTACTGTTTTCCATAGAGGTTGCACTAGTTTGCGGTCCTACCAACACTGTATAAGCGTTCCTTTTTCACCACATCCATGCCAGCATCTGTTGTTTTTTGACTTTTTAATAATGGCCATTTTGTAGAAAAACAAACACCATATGTACTCTCTAATAAATTAGAACTAACTAATGGGCATATAAGTGCATAGAGGGAAGTAAAAGTCATTGGAAACCAAGCAGGGGAGTGAGGGGAGGAGGGGGCCACAAAAACCCATCTAACAGGTACAATGAACACTATTTGGAGGATGGGCACATTTGTAGCCCTGACTCAAGCCACATAACAAAAACATTTGTACCTCCTTGGTATTTTGAAATGAAATGAAATAAATTAATAAATAAAACACTTTTTTTTCCACACACAAAAATAGTAATGGCCATTTGACAGGGGTAAGGTGTTATGTCATTATAGTTTTAATTTGTATTTTAGAGGGACGATTTATATGGCCACCATAAATATGGGCAGAGATGAATGTTGCAGTCATGGAATAGGCCGGAGGGTTGAGAAGCAGTGGACTCAGTGGTGAATGGACCCTCTGAATTAATAATTGATACCCTGTGGTAGAAAACCACAGGGTTATAAAATCTTGTAATAGAATTATGGCTAAAATAAAATTTTGACCATTTATTTGCCTGTCATGAAGAACTTATTGATCCAATATCTGCATAGAAGCTGGGTGGAGATACTTGGGATATGAGATCTCTTCCTGACTTTCACACTTTCACAAACATTTTTTGATCATCTTCTTTGTGTACACGAACCATTCTAGGTTCTTGGGATATATCTGTTAATAAAACAAAGCTCTATCCTTGTGGAGCCCTTATTCTGGGGGGTTTGGGGTAGGGTGGAGGTGGACATATGAAAAGCAACAAACAGAAAAAAAGAACTAATATGCTAGAAAGTGATGATGTTATAGAAGCAAAAAGAGAGCAGGTTAAAGGCCTTGCGATGAGAGCGTGGTCCACAGTTCTCGTTGGTGCGATCAAGGTGGCCTCACTGTGAAGGAGAGGTTTCAGTCAAGACTTGAAGGACGTGTCGGTAGTTACCTGTATGACTTTGGGAAGTCATTTAGCTGTCCACGTTCTTAGCTTACTTAAATGAATATTTGACTAGTAATTTCCAAATAATGCCCCTTGACATCATCCTCAGGTGATCACCAAGAAACAATTAATTAAGAGCACACGAATGGGTGAGGCAGCTGGTGTCAGAGAGGGACTTCCATTCCCTTCTCCCCTTTGCTTTTATCTCACTCTGGTACCTTCGGTCAAAGGAAAGTTGTCTGAAGAGAAGGAAAGTCAAACATGATTTCATTTTAAAGCTCATTTCTTGATCCTGTACTAGGTATAGCAGCGAACCAAATGAGCACCCACTCGAGTCACTGCCAGGAGGAATCTCCACGTGGTTTTGTCAGGGCGGCCGCGTCTCTTGTTGAAGACCCAGAAACCTGTGTTTCTGTGCTTGGTCAGGTTATCTTCTTTGACTGTCATCACAGCCTGCTGAGGTGGGCTGTGCCCTCGTTAAGCCCTCCCTTTTACAGATAGGGAAACTGAGGCAGAAACCTGGCTGCCTCAGCTCTGCCACTCACATCTTACGTTCCCGGAGCTCCACTGTGACACTTCACATACGCTGATGTGGGAGCATCGTCCTTAGAATCTACTATTTTGAATGATAGATAATTGGCTCTTTATAAGAAAAATGTTGACCTTCAGGACTTTTGTGTTTTGCTTTTGTTGTAAATCGGAGAGCAGTGAGTATGGAACTTTCAAACTCCACTTTTGTCCCATTGTAACAGAAGAATTACTTGTGTTTTTCGTACCTGAGATAGTGAACTTGACTTATAATCACTGTTGTTCGACGTGAAAGTTGTAGAAAATTATATGGGCATCACAGCCAAATATCCTTCTGTGGTCATGCCTCTTGGGTTGTATCGGTTTGTAGTGCTCTGTGTGCTGGAGGTAAGAAATTAGCAGATGTATGTTTCCTTTGCTGCAGAACTGATTAATCCCAATGCCTTTTACCCTCTTCGTTAACCTAAGGGTGGAGTGTTGTATGGTGGCAAAGATTATGGAGTTACTTTAGACCCAGGCCGTGGTCCTTACATGTTCTTATTTAACCACTCTGAATTTCAGTTTTCTCACCTGTCATTGGGAAAAAGTATGGCTGTTTTGAGAGGTATTTTGAGGTTTAAAGATAGCATCTGTACATTGTTTGGCACACAAGGGGCAGTGGGAAAATTCTGCTGCTGCAGCTGTTGTTGCTATTATCATCGTCATCATAATCTGTCCGGTGTTTGATATTTGCCCATTTTTTTTCTTCACGGTAGGATGCAAGCCATGCGACTATTCCTATCATGTTGGTGGGAAACAAGGCTGATCTTCGTGACACTGCTACTGCAGAGGGACAAAAATGTGTCCCAGGATTCTTTGGAGAAAAATTGGCCATGGTAAGAGTGAGTGTGGGTCTAAGTCGGAAGAGAACGTAGGAATACAATGGGTTCAGAGTCTGTGGCCTTTCACTTTTGTCTACCTTTGCTTAGGAGGTTCTTTGATAAACCTCTACCCTGTTTGATGGGGTATCAGTCCTTCTTCCACAGTCCTCCTTCCATGATTCACTTCCGTTCGTGAGCGCAAGTAATTATGCTGAGGATTCAATGCCCCATGAAGGTAAAACAATCACATGATAATTTTCCCCCACTAAGTATCACTGACAAAAAAAGAGTCAAATAAACTCATCTTCTATCTCCTGACTCTCACCTAGTTCCTGGAATCCCTCTCTAGTCCTGGAATCCAGGTAAAGAATGGGTGTCCTGTTTTGAAAAGATGGGTTTGGTTCCAGAGGGTTACAATGCCAAGGGACAGGAGATGGTGCAGTGTCTCACCTGGGTGGAAGGGAATTGAAGACTTCTTTGTGCCTGGTTGGAATAGTCTAAAATTATTGGGGTCATGGATTTGTATACAGCAATAAACACATTCAGAATATGACCATGGACAGTATTTATTCTCCCGTTACTGTCATCTGTCATCTTGCCAGAATGCTGTGCGGCCCTCTGTGATGTGTCTTACCTGTGCAAGGAACCAGGTGCACGTGGGACCAAATAAGTTCACAGTGTAGCAGTCTGACTGGATGTCAGTGTTGTTGTCTGTCATCATCAGCACCAGGAAAGCATGTGAACTTTAAAAAGAAGTTTCAATTTTACTACCGTAAATGAGAAAAATCCTTCTTGTTTTAAATTTGAGAACTGTAAACCAAATGTGATAAAGGTCAAAACTAGGCAGTGAAATGCAGGGGAGATTCGCTTGACACATAATTTACTTGTATCCACCATGTGACAGATACTTTATTATGTGCTGGGCAAAGCAGAGGACAAAACAGACGTCCCTCGCCCTTGCTTGGTTTTCTGTCTGGGGGAGACAGATGTCAAACTCCTCTAAGCCACGTGCAAACTGTCCCCTTGGGACAGCCCCTTGGAGTCTAGTCGTTCTTGGCCACCTGCCAGTTGTATTCCCTCTCCGTGATTTCTCGGCGTTCCCAAGATTTGCTTCCTTGTGCATCTCATGACCTCTACCCTCTTGCATCCTCATCCTCAGGATCAGTCTCCGTTTCACCCCATAACTTCCTGCAGACAGAAGCCAGCAGCAGTGCTGTTTCTACTAGAAATATATTTGCTTTTTGATTTCTGTAGATTTTCTGTGGATTTGAGGCTCATGGAGTCTTTCCCTGATGTCTAGCTATTCTCTCTGTCCCTGCTCCAGAGCAACCATCACAGCCTCTCCTTGTCGTACATGGGACCATCTAACCCAGGCCCACAGAACACTCAGTTCTTTAGTAAGAGAAAAAGTCTCCTGCTTATCAGACAGCAACACACAAAAATAACTTGAGCAATTACAGCTGTGGCAAGTGCTGTACAGGAAGAATACAGAGGTTTTATGACAGGAAGTCCTAGCAGACGTTTCAGGGTTAGAAGAGACTTAATCTTAACTTTAAGGAAGGATTATCTTAAAAATTCAAAAAGTAGGTAGGAGTCAGACTGGCGTAGGGGTGGAGGGGGTTGAGGTGAACTTAAGAAATGGGAAGACCAAGTGCAAAGGTCCTGTGGTGGGAGGGGATTGGGGGACACTGGGGAAACAGGAAGGCCTGGGCTACTGAAGCTTGGTGACTGACAGGGAGGCAGTGGGGGGAGGTGAGGCTGGGAGCCTGGCCGGAGCCATGTCAGGCTGGGCCTTGTCGGCCATGGAAAAGCATTTGCACGTTACCTGAAGAGGAATGGGAGGCATTGAAAGGTTCGAAGGGGAGAGTGACATGATCAATTATCATATTTATAACCACGGGGAGGTGAAATAATAGACGACTAGAAAAGTCCAACAGTTTTAGCAACACAGAGGATGCTGGATCCTGGCGGTTCAAGGTGATAGTGTGAAGGAGAACGTGTGTTAGCTGCTGGCCCAAAGGAAGCATGCTTTCCTTAGTGGTACCTTTCAGCTATGATTTTTATGTCTCTCAGATTATTTGATAGCAAACATTTGGCGGCATGTGACTGACAGAAATAAAAACCATAAAACATGAAATTTTGTGTTTTTTTTAATGCAAAGTAAAAAATCTC